GCTAGAGCCGCAGAGCTTGGTATCGCCGCCCTACACCACCAAATCGGTCCCAACTGGGAATGTAGTTTTTTTTGAGTCCAGGGTGGGGGAAGTTGGGTTAATGCTTTTTTGGTCTGTTTTAGAAATTTTAGGCTTTGTGCATTGAATTGCATACTTAGGTACTTTACTGAGCGCTGTATTTATTGCATACATATTTGTTCATTCGGAACACGGCTGCTTCTATTGCTTGTAGCATTTGGTGGGAGATATTGGCTCGCTCCTTAGGAGTGTTTGTTTAAATTAATGTGTCAGGTACATCACTTTGGACCTGCGGCTGGGAGGTAAGGGCCTTTGTACCTGTTGATGTGTTAATATTGGGGAGTTGCACCAGCCCTGGGGCAGGCGCAACGGCTGATGCTGTTTCCTTTTGAACGTGAAAGCAAATGTTTTTCAGTCGTTTTTCCTTACTGGAATTGCTTAGAAACAATTTGAGATGTTGATTACAGTAAAATGGGAAGCGCTGGCCCTTTGGGCTGCATTTTCCATTTTGGGAAGGGTGCTAATTACTGGGCTTGATTTTCTGTTTTTTTTTATTTACTTCTCAAGAATTTATTACCATTCTCTACTTTCCACTAGCCTTTTGCGCAGACTACAAAGGGGAATTTTACTGAGAAATGGTAAGATTTTGTAGAGGAATGCAATGTTTTCATTGAGGTTGGACACACGTCCTGTACGGCGGGTAGTTCTCCACAGTTGCGCTTTCTTTGTTTTTGTGGTGTTGATTAAGGCACACCAGTGCACTTCTTAAGGGCTGCGGGTGGTTTTTGTTAGTTTTTAGCTTTGGAGGTTGCTGGAATTTTAGGTGTGAAATAGGTGTGTTTTAGATACGTACTTTTGGCGGGCTATAGTGGGGTAAGAAGTATTGGGCCAGGTTGCTTTTAGTGGCTGTATATTAACACTCATTTTTTAGTAGCCAGGGTAATGACTGGGGGAATAGGCCTGTTTTTCAGGCCTCTTTTAGCCTAACGGCTATTGTGTTTTTAATAACGGTTGCTTTTTGATGTTTGATTTTTAATAGCTAGTTTAGATTAGTTTTATTAGCAACAGTACCTTAGCCTTTATGGCATTTTGTGGAAAACAGTTGTTTGGTCAGTAGGAACTCAGTATTTGCTGGTGGGGGTTTTGACTAATACGGTATTGCTTTGCTTTCACGCTAGAACTAGACTTTTTGGGGTTTTTTTGTTTGGGCCAGGAAGTGAATTTTACTTTTAAAAAAGGGGTGTCGGGCTCTCCTCAGGGGGATGGGGTGGGCTGAGGGGACAGCTGCAATTGCACGGGAGTTTTTATTCTTTTTCTTTTCTTCGTTTGCTAGGACAGTTCTGGATACTAGATACCAGCTCCCATTCATGCCCCTTGGTGTAGTCCATCAGCCTCTCCAGCTTGAATCTCAACAGTGAAGACCCAACAAAGCCTAAGGGTGTGAATGACTGTGTGGAAAGTTGTCTTTAATTTGTTGCGGGGGCTAGAGATGGTCTCCCTTTGCATAGCATACGCTCAGGAAAGAAACAATGCTGTAAGTCTACCTCTCGGAGATGGCTTAGGAGAGCCTGGGTAAGGGGTTTTCTTTCTTTGTTACTGCTGAGCTACCAAGTTAGAAAAGCTGACGAGTAGATTCTGACTTGTCAAGTCTGCTTTCACTGCTTCTTATGCTCCCTGCACAGCTGTTCCCTTCT